ACCGTCATGCCTGAAATGCACCCTTCCCATTCGAATTTCGAATCTCACATTTCAATTCCATATACTATTATTATATATATATTTTTGTTCTCTCAAGTTCAAGTTGTAAAGCACAATAAAGGTAATTATTCAATTAACTTTACAATTGCGATTCGTTTATCAAATAAACGCAAGATATTTTATTTGTTTAATAAATGCAATTATATTTAATTACTTGCTTGAATGCAACTGCATTTATATAATGCTTTATATGATGATGTGCAAACTTAAAGTCGACAAATGATCTATCTTATCAAAAATACCTGAGCTGATTAGCAGTGATCGAGTACAAAAGATTTTGTCTCATAAAATATAAATTTAGTAGTATTTCAGATTGAAATATATACATTACAGATGTAGATACATATATAGATAAAGAGTACAGAAATCAAATTACAAGGAAGTCCACAGGGCTGCTTATTAAGAATATATCTTAAGCCCCTCTGTGTCCAGAGTCTGAATAACAAATATTTGTTGTATTAGCTTTAATAATGTATTGTAGAAATGAAAAGAGGTTTTCACTAAGTTGAAACAAAGTTGAGGCCCAGCTGCTTGCTGTACGTGGAAATTTGAAAGTCTTCAAGTATTAAAGTTTCAAGATTCGATGTATTTATGCAAATGTGGTCAGACAGACGGATAGAAGAGCTAAGCTCTTATGTTGGTTCTAATTAAGAATAATGTTATATAAAAACATTTTTTTTTTTCGTTTTTAGGTTTTATTTCAATATATGTTTATGATAATATATATAATTTAATGATAATTTAAATGTTTTTTTTTTTTTTTTTTTTTTTTTTTTTTTTTTGTGTTAAAAAATATAGAAAGTTTGACATATTTGTCAATTTATTGTTTAATTATAATTAAAAGAAAGCGTAAGTGATTTCACAGTAAAATACAGTAGAGTCCAGACATGACGACTATAATCATATAAGTTTGTCCGGGGACGAGAATTTGCGTCGCGATAACCCTACGTATGCTATAACTGTATTATTGCAATAATATTATATGTATAATATTATAACAAAAGAATTTGGCTTATACTTTCTCTCTCTCTCTCTCTCTCTCTCTCTCTCTCTCTCTCTCTATCTCTCTCTTTCCACTTACTACTTATACTACTTATATGTATCAACTTAATAATATCAAACATAATAAATGAGTTCACTGTTTGACAAATACAACAAAAATCTTGAATGTATTGACTTGTACTGACCATATCTTAAACATATATTTACTAACAGACAAAGCAAACGAAGATCTTCAGAATTTAGCCTGTATATTCGTACTGGCTTTGCAGCAATCTCTTGTTTTGCTCCAAATGAGAATTGTTCCAATAATAGACATAATAAACATATTAACATTTATAATAATTCTACTATTTTGTCGGCCTTTGGCATGGGAGTTATGCCCGTGTGATAAGTGCAATTACTTTTACAATCGTTATATAAATAATCTCGTCTTGGCTCCACACACAGGCCGTAGATGCTGCTGTGCCTTATCTCGAGGCACGTTTCTTTATACTAGATTTTGTGTCCCGCTGATAGCTGAGAGCTACTTGACGACACAAAGTTCAGCCTGAAGTGTGGGCTCGGACTTAAGAGCCACTCTTGCCGAGTGGGGGTGGGAGGGGCATACGCCCCATGCCCAGTGTCCAGTGGCAGTTGAGTGCATTGTAGCGTGACCGAGCAGTTGGCTTGTCAGCCGGTGTTCATTTATCACTGACAGACGTGCCCGGTTAACTGGATGTGCATGCCAATGCTCCAGTTAGCTCCACAAGCTGCAGCTGAGGCGGCGGCAGAGGCGGATGTGGAGGCTGTTGTCTAGTTGATGGGCTGACGATATGGTAAATAGCAGCAACGGTAGCCACAGCAGCCGCATCAGCAAAATAATTTCAATTTAATGCTAATTAAAGCAAATAAGAGTGCTCAAGGGGCGAGTGGGAGCGACACAGCGATGCCCTGTAGGCAAACGAAAAGTGTGAAAAGTGTGAACAAATGAAAGAAGGTTGAGCGAGTCGAAAGGGAAATACCCTTCCTTACATCAAACAAAGTAAAGACTAACAATATTAAATGAAGATATAAACCATTTATATATAAATAAATTTACTATTACCATTTCAAAACACTCCACTTAGTCTCTCGCTGCGTATGCAGGGTATCATAATTAAAATGAGCTCAGGGGCGACCAAAATATCAAATTATCTAGGCTCACACATATACAATATGTACATGCAAATATAATGCTCACTCCATTATTATTATTATGTAAATTTGTCATATTTTACAGAACAATCGAGCATAAACTCCAACAATATCGTCTGACCACAAATGAGCCGGTCGTCACCGACACGGAATATGGCAAAGTGCGGGGCGTTAAGCGGTTGACCATCTACGATCTGCCCTACTTTAGCTTTGAGGGCATACCCTATGCCCAGCCGCCCGTTGGGGAGCTGCGTTTCCGTGCCCCGCAGCGACCCACGCCCTGGGAGGGCGTACGGGACTGCACCCAGCCCAAGGACATGGCAGTGCAGGTGAATTTCGTCTTCGACAAGGTCGAGGGCTCCGAGGATTGCCTCTATCTGAATGTCTACACGAATAATGTGAGTGAGTGCTTGAATAAATAGAAACGGCAATTGCATTCGATCTACCCTGCTAAACAGCTGAGTCCAGCCAAGCCACGCCCAGTTCTGGTCTGGATACATGGCGGCGGCTTCATCATTGGCGAGGCCAATCGCGACTGGTACGGCCCGGACTACTTTATGAAGGAGGATGTTGTGCTGGTCACCATTCAGTATCGTTTGGGTGCTCTAGGTAAATTCGAAAGCTGAATACCTGAATCTCACCTGGTTCCATTCTAATGATGCATTACTTTAAGGCTTCCTCAGCTTGAAAACTCCTGGCTTGAATGTGCCGGGCAATGCGGGTCTCAAGGATCAGGTGATGGCTCTGAAGTGGATTAAGAACAATTGCGCCAGCTTTGGCGGCGATCCCGATTGCATAACGGTGTTTGGCGAGAGTGCTGGAGCTGCCTCCACCCACTACATGATGCTGACGGACCAAACGCAGGGACTCTTCCATCGTGGCATCCTGCAGTCGGGCAGCGCCATCGCGCCTTGGGCCTTCAATGGCGACATTACGTCGCGCGCCTTCCGGATTGCCAAGCTGGCGGGCTACAAAGGCGAGGACAACGAGAAGGATGTGCTACAGTTTCTGCAGACAGTGCGCGCCAGGGACCTGATACGCGTGGAGGAACAGGTGCTGACGCCCGAGGAGCATGCGAACAAGGTGATGTTTGCCTTTGGCCCCGCACTGGAGCCATATGCCACGCCCGAGTGCGTCCTGCCGAAGCACCCGCTCGAGATGATGAAGACCGCGTGGAGCAACTCGATACCCATGATGATAGGCAACACCTCGTACGAGGGTCTGCTCTGGGTGCCAGGTGAGTGGGAAGTTCATTCTCCCGCTGGAGTACAAACTGAAAATTTGCCTATGCAGAGGTCAAACTGATGCCCCAGGTGGTGCAGCAGGTGGACTCAGGCACGCCCTTCGTCCCCCGCGAGCTGGCAGCGATCAACAGCGAAAAGGTCAGCAGCTGGGGTCAGAAGATACGCAGCGCTCATTTGACAGGCGAGAAGGCGACACCTGATAATTACATGGATGTAAGTTGCTTCAATCAATTTGATTGAGTGAGTATAGGAACTTGACTGATTGACTGAGTGGCTCCGAACAAAAGAAGACTTATTAATTGATAAACGGAGTGATTGATTTAGCAATCGGACTTTTTATGATTGATTGACTGATTGGTATGCTAAAGTGATTGATTAGATTGATTGACTGATAGATTGCATGAGAGACAGATATAACTGAATGACCGATTTGATTGATTCAATGATTGTCAAAGTAATAAAAACTGACATGACTGCTTGATTGATAGAGCCCATGATTGTCTGAGCAGTAGAGGTAATGCCTGATGGCCTGATTGTTTGTTGTGCTATTCAAATGATTGATTGACTGATTAATAGATGAATACATGATTTGATTGATAGACCCACTATATTACCGGCCAGTGATTGAGCAATAAACTTATTTTGTTTGCTCATAAGAGACTAAAATTAATATATATTATAATTAAGACTAACTTAAAGCTTAGTCACTGACAATTTGAGCCTTCCGTTTAATATATGACCGCTCTAATGACAGATTTTCTGATGCAGCTTGAACCACAGCAGCTAACATATCTCTCTCATATTCATATACTACATATATATTTGTCTCTCTCTCTCTCTCCCTTTCTCATACAGCTCTGTTCCATTTATTATTTTGTCTTTCCTGCTCTGCGCGTGGTCCGCTCGAGACACGCCCATGCCGCTGGCTCGCCCGTATACTTCTATCGCTACGACTTCGATTCGGAGGAGTTGATATACCCGTACCGTATCATGCGTTACGGCCGTGGTGTCAAGGGCGTCAGTCATGCGGACGATTTGACGTATCAGTTCACCAGTCTCCTGGCACACCGCATGCCGAAGGAGAGTCGGGAGTACCGTAACATTGAGCGCACGGTGGGCATCTGGACACAGTTTGCGAGGACCGGCAACCCGTACAGCTCGGAGATCAATGGCTTGGACATGATTACCTGGGATCCGGTGCGGAAGAGCGACGAGAGCATCAAATGCCTAAACATTAGCGATGAATTGAAGTTTATTGAGCTGCCCGAATGGCCGAAGCTGAAGATCTGGGAGAGTCTCTACGATGATAACAGGGCGCTGCTGTTCTAATAGACGAATGCCTTAACTAAACTATGTAATTGCTGAAATACGAATTTGTACATAAATCCGGCTGTATTGAGTTGATAGAAATAAACAATTGGTGGATTGTTTTAACAATTAAATAGAATAACAATATTTCACAATATAGGCTTTCAAAATTCACTCAACAATAGTCCGAAATTATTTGCATTTAGAAATTCTATAGCTCCCCAAAAAATAACTAAAAATACAAAAAAAAAAAAATTAATAAATTAAAACTATGTCCGCGTCGCATCGTTTAAGTCGCGAGCTTAGCGATATCATGGCCGCCAAGTCGAAGGTCCTGCGCAATGTGGAAGCCTCAGATGAATCCTTGCTGCTGTGGACCGGACTGTTGGTGCCGGAGAAGGCGCCTTACAACAAGGGTGCCTTTCGTATCGAGGTTAGCTTCCCTGCCCAGTATCCGTTCATGCCGCCGAGAATACTGTTCAAGACCCAGATCTATCATCCCAATGTCGATGAGAAGGGCCAGGTGTGCCTCTCCATAATAACGGCCGACAACTGGAAGCCGACAACGCGCACCGAGCAGGTGTTTCAGGCTCTCATCGACATTGTGCACAATCCCCAACCAGAGCATCCGTTGCGCTCCGATTTGGCCGAGGAGTTTGTCAAAGATCACAAGAAGTTCATGAAGTCCGCAGAGGAGTTTACCAAAAAGAATGCCGAAAAGCGTCCCCAATAAATTGAAATACATATAGGCCTGGCCTGGGCGACACACACTCACTTTTCGTTTAACCTAAATTCCATATATATACGTACATATATATATATATATATTCATATATATATGTGGTATCCCAAATAATTATTCCTGTCCTTTGTTGGCGATTCAATTAAATTTACAAGCTGCTTGACGCACACAATCCCACAAATACAACCTGAGCTATTACCTGGATACAACTCAACGTATCTAACTGTGCCTCAGTCCGAACGTGCTCCGCTTGTCCAGTTATTTATATGCCTAGAGCCGGCCAGCCAGGCTAGTACTACATAATTCACCGTCTGCGGACTGCGAGCTCTGACAATTGTCGAGTTCTCTGCTTCGCACAGCATCTGCCAGGCAGAGTTACCTGAATTTAATGCCAAGCTCTATGGCTGTCTGTGTGGCTTAATTATGTGGTTTAATTCATTTAAATTGTCTGTCTTATTCGAATAGGAGTATTAGCATATATTAAGAATAAGTACTAGTCTATATAATTATGATTCTACTACTATTTTTAAGTAAGTTAAGTATTTTATTAGGTAAACGTAATATAAGAATTGGTTATTAATTGCAATTAGCATCTAGGCTAGAATAATTAATAGTACTCTTAGTATTGCTTCTAATATCATCAGGCTGAGTTTCAGCATTTGTATAAGAACAAATACTTTTAATACAAGATTATAATAGGTATTAGATTTACTTTTAGTCTTAGTATTAGTACTGTTGGTAAAAGTATTATCAGCATTCGTATTATTTGTTCAGATACTGCTTTTAGTATAAATATTAGAATTAAAAAGCTAGTGCTAGTGCTAGTATTAGTATGATTCCTACTACACTTACCTTGTTAATATTTTCATACGTACAGAATATAATTATTAGTTTTGTTTGTGTGTGTGGTAGAGGTAAGTAAAAATACATTTTGCACCATCAGTCAGGTCGTCACTCTGGCTATTGTATCAAACTGCTTTACCGGTTAAAATTCTCTTATTCTAGGGCTGTTTCCAACCTTAGATTCAGGAGCTATCCCGCATTAACCTTCAAGGTGGATCTTTTACTCTTATTGAGCAATGTCATATGTTTGCCTGTGTCCTGGTAATATTTGCTCTGCCGCAGAATCTATTTCCAAGCATCTATGCTGCTACACATTTATTTATCTATAGTCTCTACTTTATTCTTTAAGCTTCTGCCAAGCTGAGTCTCTCTTCTGGCCATTTTTCGTAGCTAAAGAAAGTGTGCTCGTCATCCATTTTCACAGTAAATGTTTTCCACATTTTATTTGGGTATTTTCGCAGTTCATGCAGAGCATTTGTGTGAAATAAAGAAAAGTTTCCAAATTATTGCTTTTTATGAGCGAGAGCGTTTCTATAGAATATGAGCATGTTTCACCGTGCTAGCCATTTATCTACTGCTCATACCTTCCGTATGATCATCATGTCTATCATAAGGCTACAATTAACTGTCGAACGATCTTTGCTGTTTACTTCATGAACTCTCGACTTTACTGGCGCAACCAAGTCAACTCGACTGACTGTTGTTATCGCTATCACGGCAGTTCCAGAGACTGTGCGGTGTGGTGAATCTATCCTTACGGCTGATCTTCTTTGCATGGTTAACATCGGCTTCAGCTTTTAACGACTTCTCCTATACTTCACTACCATATATTATGATTGTATTTGTCGCTTCCATCTGGAGTCTTTGTTTTCCTGGCATTGATCTGTCAAAACTTGCCATCATATTTATTATAATTGTTATTAGCATTGGCACTAGTATTAGTATTGGTGTTAGTATTACTCTTAATATATGTTTTCGTATTATTATTGTTATTATTAGTTTGAATTAATGTATCATTGATGGAATTATTAGTAAAATATTCATTACATTAGTTCTAGTATTAGTATACATATTATGTTATGTTATTATGATGTGCTAAAATCAATAATTGAATATTTGCTCTTATTACTATTACCATTATTGGCTTGTATCATATTTGACTTAATAATATCTAATTATCAACATTCAATTAAACACCCACAAAGTGCGCAAACGGGCTTCCCCTTTGGGATTGAATTGAATTCAATAAGTTGGCCATCATATATGTACACATATGTAGCGTGACGCTATCATACCTCATCAACAGGTACTACTATAATTTGCTGTTTCGACTGAATACACGCTACACGATATTAGTTGTATCTAATACATACAAATAAATAGTCGAAAAAACAGTACAACCTTGAAATAATATTCACATTGTAATTTGAGATATGTGGAAAGCTTTAATACTTGTAGTTTATATTGACAGTTTATATAATCTTGGTTAAATAACTAATCATAGCTTTTAACCGCTGTAATTGTTGTATTGACGAGGCCTTATCTCAAATGTAATATCACTCGTCATATATCAGTCAACAATTACGTGGGCCATTTGATTGTAAGCCTGTTGGCTTTATAATTAATTAAATAAAGTCAGCTTTTAAAATATGCCGTTGAATATCGAAAACAGGTCAGACAAGTCAATAGTCCACTTATATGCATACGCATACTACATTCCCTGCATTCCCTTTCATGCGCCAGTAATCATAGATTGAATATTAAATCTATATTCCTTGATGGGCAGTTTATTAAATTAATTATTTGCACCTCAGCTGACGGTCAGTGGCGAGCTAATTGAAACGAGTCGACTGTTTTAATAACACTAATTGCCTGCGCTAATGATCCGCCTGAGCCCTAATATCCTAATACAAAGAGCAGCGCATGCAACAGTTTCCAATCGAGTGCAAAACGAACAAATTGAGCACTTGTTACTTCGAAATCACTCAATGGGAGCGAGAGAAACTGCTTTGCACTGCTGCGAGCCTAATCTTGGCGGATAGTCTGCTCTTTACTTTGTTGAGGGCTTGAAAACTATGCTAAAATTAGTCAGGCAGGACTCAAAGGAGTGTCTATGTGAGCGCACTGGCCACATTAGAGTTTATAAATATAATGTGAGGCTTACCCGAACTGAATGTCACTCGCATCAGTTTGACAAAAATAAATATAGTTAATATATACAGACATTCATGCATAGATATGTGTGCATATTATTTTGGCACACATTTTGAGCTCTAAACTTGTCGCAAACTGTTGATTAACATGGCTTCCGCTTCGAAAACATTGTGCTACAAATTGTTGCACATACGCCCCGTGCGACAATATATAAATTGCAAACAAAGTGAAATATGTGCGTAAACAAAATAAAATAACTTTAAAACCAAAACTCAAACAAATCAACAACAAAAAGGCAACTGCAGTGAAAACTATTTTGTGTGCTCGTGCTTGTGTGTTTTATTGTGTGTGTGTGTGTGTGTGTGTGTGATCACATGCTATAAACAATAAACAAAAGGCAACAACAAGAACGATAACGTTTAAACAAAACAACGGCGCCCAGCAGAGACAGCAAGCGAACTCACTCGAGCAGACAATGCCATGGGCATTTGAGTGCGAAACCAGGCAGCGCACACTCACACTCACACCCAGTCACACTCGCACACATTGAGAATATCACTCGTACGACCGGCCAGACTAAATGAGTGTAAAAATTGCGGTTCTCTGTGTGTGTGCGTGCGATACGTACATACGTCCGAGCGCTCGAGCATTCGAGCGGCGAGCGCTCGACCACTAAACTTAAACAGCGCCTACTTCAAATGCTTCAGTAGACGCGCAGCCCCTGAGTATAACGCAAGTCAAGCCCGAGGCCCCAAAGCCGGCGTTCATTCAATCTCAATCAATGAGGCGCAGCAGCACAACTAATTAAACGAGAGACGACAAAATCCGAACGAGTGCAAATTTCAATCAAGTAGCAAATTCGAAAGCCTTTGCAATAAGAAAATAAGTGAAACGACAAAATCAATCGGGCATTTCAAACCAAGACGATAGCCTGCGAAAAGGCCACGTTACGCATACGCCGCGTAGGCGTTTCATATTTTTTATATGCCACTTGCCGCTCGTAATTTGCCATTTGCCACTTAAAACAATTTGACCTGTCACGCTGATATCTATTGTGATTTAGAATTGTTTTTCCTGTTTGTGTGTGCGCGCGTGCGTGTGTGCGTGTGTGTGTGTGTCTAATTGCCCAGAGGCAAGGAATCAAATTGCGCTGCATTGGCGAGCTGCTGCAAAGCCACAAGAGAACATGTCATTCGATATAGCCATCGCCGATCAGATGCGCATTGCATTGAAGTAAGTGAATACAAATATTTATATATGACATTAAATGCATACATTTTCAAGCAAAGCTTCGGTAAACAATATTGAATTTATATTTAGAAATACATTATTTACATAACACTATTACCAATGCTAGCTACAAATATTTCAATTCAAATGAACACATCTTTAATTTATA